AAACCACGTACCTATCTGAATGGTTAAAATGAAAGACACAGACAGTATCAACTGTTGTCAAAAATGAATTCTGATATACTGCTGGCAAAAAAATTTGTACACGACTTTGAAATCTGTTTGGCATATCTGCTATTAGTACAAATGTATATCCCATGACCCAGCAACTGTACTTCTAGGTCTATTTCTCAACAAAAGGACATGTATAAAAATCTTAATACCAGCATTATTTCTTTCCAAACCAGAAATTACCAAATCCTTTCAGTTTTCTTTATTTAAAGTAGAATGGACAGGGTATTCTGCGAAGATTACAGAATAAGTCAGTCTAGTTTCCACCCGTCAACATGTGCATCAAGAAACATGGCATTGGCAATGAAGGACTTTAAATCGTTGGGCAGAGAATAGCAGTAAAAGACTGCAAACAGACATGAGTTAACGAGTCTCATACATTAAGAACACTACTTACACTGTTCAAATCCCTCCTTTGCCTGGCACCATGAACTTTATTTACTCTGTTACTGACTACAGAAGTGGTGCCTGCATAAGAATCTGCTTTCCCAACAAACATACAACTGCCAAAGCACGGGGAAAGGGCTTTAGATCTGGTTCTAAATTCAGGTCCCGTTCAGGGTATTCACACCCCTGCCTGTCCCATCACAGTGGAAACACTGCTGTGATCCCAGACAATCCACCCATGGCTCACCTGCTGTGTGGATAAGAGATTGATTAGTGCATGTCTTCTGTGCTGTTTGGGAGATACTGAAACAAAGCAATCCTGGTTTGGATTTTTCATATCTTAGTAAAAATAGAAGTAAAGGGAGTGGTAAGGTCTTGAAGGCTCTTCCTGCCTAAGAGTTTCTTGCAGGAAGAAATTCTCAAAAGCACTTAGTACTGGGGAAGATTGAGAAAGCTAAAACTCTATAAAAATACTAATGATACTGATTCAACAAAAAATTACAGGATACAAATAGAAAATGGAGACAACATCTCAACCCAAGTGAACAAGATGAAGGGAGAGGAATCTAATCTATGGAAGACCAAATAATGAACAGAATGGAAGAATATACAATACAACAATATGAAACAAGCTCAAAAAACTTTAAACAAAGACAAAGAAAGAAAGGAAATTAGAAACATGATGCATGAACTAAAAGAGAATTTAAAAAGAGATAGACACTATAAAAACAAATCAAACAGTAATACTGGAACTGAAAGAGGTAACTGAAATGATGAACACATTAAAACATTTAACAACAGATTTAACCTGGCAAAAGGAATCAGTGAACTAGAAGATAGGATATAACTGAAATTATGGAGGCTGAGGAACAAAAAGGAAGAAGGCTCAAGACTGCAAGCACAGTTTAATGGAATTATGGAACAAAATCAAGCAAACCAACATATGCATCATGGGATTCTCAGGAGAAGAGAAAGGGTCAGAAAGACTGTTTGAAGAAATAATGGCAGAAAACTTCCAAATTTGACATGAACCTACAAATGCAAGAACCTTAGAGAATTCCAAGTATGACAGAGTATAGTGAAAAAATGAATTGGTGTATATTCATACAATGGAATACTATACAGTGCACAAAATGAAGTAGAAATACTTGTAACATGGATGAATCTCACACAGCAAAATGTTAAACAAAGAAAACGAAGCCAGAGGTGGTAGTAGTGGGGGAGTGGGTTGAGAGTGTGATGAAGTGGAGGAGTAAGTGAATGAAAGAGGGAATGAATAGGAGGGCTTCATGGGTGCTGGTAATGTTCTGTTTCTTGATTTGGGAGCTGATTACATTGGTGCTCTCATTTTGTAAATATTTATTGAGCTGTACCCTTATATACACTTTTCTAAGTGTGTATCACAAATTTAATTTTAAAATTTACTTAAGGGAGTCAGGTATAAAGTAAATATGTTTTTAAAATTTTCAACCTATCCTAAAACTTGGTTTTAATGTATTCAACAAAACAACAAACATATATTTGGACATAGATAAGAATTTTTTCTTAACTGCACAAACATCTAAAACACGCATATTTGTCAGCTACCACTTTCCTTCTATGGGTCCTGTCACAATAGCATATTTTCTATACCTCAAACTAAATTTGTTCTTACTTAGGGGATGTGTATTTGCTAATCCCTCCACCTGAAAAGCTCTTCCTGTATACCTCTGTATAACTAGTCCTTTATTATCACTGAATCTACAAAAAATCATCAGATTTGTTAACTCCTTAAGAGAACCTTTCTTGACTATGCTATTTAATTTTATTCCCCCGGCCATGTGTCTCTTGTAATTCTCTATCACATTACCCTCCTTTATTTTCTTCACAGTAATTTCATAACTTAAAACTAAATACTATGAGCTTTTTACTGTCTTTCTGTATTAGAATGGAAATTCTTTGAAAGCAGAAAAGTATAAGCATATAGAAAATGCACAGTCAATATTTGTTAACACAATGAATTTGTAAAATAATTTAAAAATCGTACTACCAAGTAAAATAGTACAAAATATTTTTTTCTTCTCAATAAAGCATTTTTAAGCTACTATTTGGGTATCATCAACCTTTTAATCAAGATTTGGTTACATTTTTATTTAGCATAACAATATAAAAAAAATTACCTTAAATTTCACTTAAGGTGGTATATTTTTCTCAAAGGATTTAGCAGAATCTGTCACTCAAAATTTAACTTCTTAGAATTTATCCTAAGGAAAAATTTCTGTATATTCTCAAAGACTTGGCTATGAGTTATGTTTGTCCCGTCAAAGTTAAAATAAAGAAACATGCAAACAACCTAAATTTCTACCAATGTGAATTATTGATATAAATTATGGAATATACATAAGTAGCCTTTAAAATCTTAAAAAGAAAAGCTCATAATTAAGAGAAAAAGGTACATTATATAGTAAGTTCACAAGACAATTTTTGCTTTTAAATATTATTTACATAGAAAAAACTTAATAGGTGTATAATAAAATGTTTATTCCTAGATGAGCAAGATTAATAATGGTTTTAATTTTAACCTTTAAACTATGTGTTCAAACATGAAAACATTTTTTTTCTCTTCCTCCATTATTTAATGAACTTTTAACTCATATAGTACCTGTTTTTTAAAATAAAACGCATACGTACATCTCTGAAGAGACCAGACTGTAGATACATACATTTCTTGAAATATTTTATAAAAGATAACTATGTAATGTGTTTGGGAGCTCTGGTAGCATAGTGGCTAAAGCATTTGACTGCTAACCAGAAGGCTGGAGGTTCAAACCCACCAGCCACTCCTCGGAAGGAAGGTTGGGCAATCCTACTTCCATAGTGATACTGCCTCGGAAACCCAAGGAGGGGTCGCTATGAGTCGGGTCCGACTCAATGGCACATTACAACAACAACAACAACATGTAATGTGTTTAATATGTAGGCCATAAAAATTATAATTCTTCACTGAAAATAACAGAATATTTTTACATGATATAATTGAAACAAATATACATGACAGCTCTATGAAGTTATTTTGAAATAAAAGGCAATGATGCTGAGTGATTAAGTGTAACTTCTGCTTTTTTCTGTGGTAAAGTAAAAAAATACATATTCTTCAGTTGTAGAATTAGGTAGAAACAGAAATTATTTAATTCAGCAGTACTAAAGATACAAATAGCTTGTATCTAAAAAAAGAATTTAAGCTGTCATGGTAAGTGTACATTGAAACTTTTGAAAATATCTTCATGAATTACTACCATATTTCTAAACACAACTGATAGCACTTAAAATAGATTGCCAGGAAATATTAAAAAGTTTTTGATTAGTAGAACTTTATCATTAGCAGGAATTTTTGTTGGCTGGTAAACTAAAAAGTAGCAACATTTAAAGAAAAGTTAAGCATCTTGCCTCATAATACAATTCACCTAATATAATTTAAGCTTTAATAAATTATACAATTTAAAGTTTTCAACCAGTTGGCAATAAACCACAACTTCATGTTTCTTTAGGTAAAATACTACTTGATAGAGACTACTTCTTAAAACAAGTCTCTTTTAATCTAAATTTACAAGATATCTCACTATCCAAATTTTCACTTCAACATATTTTTAATATTTAAGCAACGGCTCAAATAACATCTATATATTGTTATATTACATCATGGCATTTAATTAGCTATTTTTTAAGAAACAAAGTGAACAGGTTTAGAAATTTTAGCTGAAGAAATAAAAAAGATGTTTGACAAAGTAATTAAACATAAAAGCTACTCAAAATCAATTTTAAAGAAAACAAAATGTGTTTAGACAATAATGTTTAATTTAATGTGCATGTTCTAAGTACATGGTGGATTATACCTTCAAATGATATATAAAAGAATCCTATAGTTATCTAAAAGCAAGGAAGAATTAAACAAGTTGGAAAACAATTTCTTTAGGCTTTTTGATTAGCACCCAAATACTTTAACTACTATACCAACAGGGCTCTTTTTTATAGTTTGTTACTTGAAATTCATAATTCAGATTCCTTTCAAAAGTATACTGTTAGATAATTTCCTCAAAATAGCTCTTAATTTTTGTTTGCAAGATTTTGATTTATTTAAACTATTTATTGTGACTTGAGTGAAAACACACCTATTAATTTTTGTGGCTCATATATCCTTTAAGTGATTATATGCTTGGATTTTCATGTTTTCCTGATTTGCATAGTTACAAAAAGCACATAAAAATAAATCTTCCTGAAACCCTTATTCTCTGGTTAGGAACAGGGTAATTCAACTATTTATTGTTATTGTTGTAGATGTAGCATTCTCAGAAATCAATGTATAACAAAGGAAGAATTTTATTTATGTTCATTAGATATTCCAAAAATTTACTCAACTTAATCACAATTTTTTAACAGTTATCTTCATGTATTATCTTGAAGATAAAAATACAGATAGTATCGTGTATATAAAATGAGTAACCACTGATAGTTGTGACCTCTGGCTATATGTAATTCAACGGTTTAACATTTTAACACATATAAATTACCTTAACAAAATCTCTATCAGTCTTCTCCTTCCATTCTTCTCCAAATACAGTAGAAAAGGATCCTAAAGCTTAAAAAACCAATAGTATATTCAGTGAAACAGAATTCATTCTTTCATTTAATTCTTTAACAATAGGTAGGCTTAGAAAAACAATAAAATGACATTTTAAGATATGGTCACTAAGAGTTTTTTAAATACTAAATTACAGAGAGTCATGATAATCTTTTAAAAAAATATTTTCTTTTTGAATTCAGGAGTTGAAAGAAAATTTTTATGTCCCTATAAACTAAAAATACACAATTCATTTTTGTTTAACAGACAATTAATTGTTTTACAGACAATAAAGAAATTAAGAGTACCATAAAAAAGTTACTCTATTGCTCATACTTTTGCTTTGAGATGGACAGATTTTAAAATTTTTTAAATTTTAAATCTTCATATTAATTTCAGACATAAATGTTGATTTGTATTTCAAATAATACAGGGCAAGATATTATTTGGGAGTAATTCCCACAAATGAAATCTTACTATTTTATTAATAATAATCTTATTAATAATTAACCTTTTTATTTTATTAGGAGCTCTGATAGCATAGTGCCTAAGGCACTGGACTGCTAACCAGAGGGCTGGTGGTTCAAACCCACCAGCAACTCCTTGGAAGGAAGGCTGGGCAATCTACTTCCGTAGTGATACTGCCTTGGAAACTCAAGGAGGGGGTCGCTATGAGTCGGGTCCGACTCGACGGCACATTAACAGCAGCATTATTTTATTAATAATAATTAAAAAACTCCTAGAAGTACAGCTTCTTTTGTGTGTGTGTGTGTGTGTGTTTATTACAATGTTATTTTGGAAAGCTTCTTCTTAATAACATCCTACAACCTCCATACTTGTCATCCCTACCCCAACAACAAAAACTAAGGCACATATTCTATCATTTTTTGCTAATTTATGTTGTTAGCTCTTTTTTTTGGTTATAGCACAAGACAGTAAAATACTATGATACAAATGTCCAAACTGTAAATATGTATCCCACTTTAAAAATTAGTTCAGTGCTTTATCACTTATTCAATAATAAAATTCAATAATAAAAGCTACTGCTTTCAGAAAACAGAAACTACTTTGGCAACTGTTAACAAACAACAAAAAAAGAACAAACTACTTTTTATGAATGTCAATCTTTAAACAAAATTAAGCCCCATTATTGGACAAGTCAGAAAAGACATGGTGGTGCAGTGGTTCAAGTGCTTGGCTGCTAACCAAAACATTGGTAGTTCAAACCCACCAGCTACTCTGTGGAAGAAAAATGTGGCAGTCTACTTCTGTAAATATTTACAGCCTTGGAAACCCTATAGTGTCCTATTGGATCAACTCTGGCAGTGGGCAGTGGGATTGCACATGTTATGACAAGTGTAATAAAGGTATATATTTTCTGCAGGAAAAACTGATTGAACTTTTATAGTCTTTAAATTCCTTTCAGTACAGATCATTATTGATACTAAGGTCACGAGGAAATTATACTGAAAAAAATAGTTGTGCAAGTTTTAACAAATAAATTACCTATAGTGGCCTAAAGAATTCTACAAAATATCAAACTTACAGGTACAAAACAAACAATAAAACCAATCCCACTGTCACTGAGTCAATTCTGACTCACAGTGACCCTTTAGGGCAGAGTAGAACTACCCCATAGGCTTTCCAAGCCTGTAAATTTTCACAGAAACACACTGCCTCATCCTTTCCCCAAGTGGATGGTAGGTTCAAAACACCATGTTTTGGTTAGCAACTTCTTTAACCAGTATGTCACCAGAGACCCTTAACTTACATGTAAGTAGCAGCTTCATGAGAAAATTGAAGGCCATACACCATGATATAAGGATATGGTTTTGTGTGTTTTCACTGGGGATGGGTGTGTGTGTGTGTGTGGGGGGTATGTGAGTGGGTGTGTGAGTGGGGGGTGTGTGAGTGGGAGTGTGTCGGGGTGTCATTTCAAGAAAAACTTCATAGGAAAAATACTGGTGGACATAAAAGACTGAATAATTCAATTTTTTGTTGCATGGAATTTTTAAAAATAATTCTTCAAACATACAAAATGTGTAAACACTCTACACTATCTAAAGTGCATTTACATTTATCTCTCAATTAAAATTCAATGTCCTAAAAAAAATCACCATTTCTTAAAACCCTAACCAACTTAAATATATCTGTAATCCTCAAACCAAAAGAGAATTATTTTCATAATACAAACCCACTCTTATAAAGTCTACATAAAGTCTCTATGTATTTTGGAACTAAATGTCTAAGACTGCTAGAATGATACAAAAATTCCAAAAAACAGCACTTACTTATTGCGGTGTAGTAAATTACTTAGTGTGGCTTTTCTACCCATAAGTCTCTGTAAACTCTGAGATGGAATTTGCCATGAGCAACTGAGGAGCTCCTGATTGCTAAAGTTATCCACCTGGGATATTTCTGTTGAGCAGTGGCACAAAGCAATGTTCTGGGAAGTTCGTGCTCTCTCTCAGGTGCTTCCTATTATGATGTTATGATTGGTTAGATTGGCCACTCTGCCAGGCTCAAAAGGAGGCTTCCTAGAGGCAGAAGTCTCTCTGACTGCTGGCTGAGGAAAGACGTGCTGCTGAGAGAAATGCGCTCCTGAGAGACACGTGCCCCTGAGAGCCACGCGCTGCTGGGAAAGAGACACAAGAGCCATGCATTGATGAGAGAGACATGGAGGGACATGCACTGCTGGGAGAGAGACTGTGAGAGACTGCTGGGGGAGAGATGGTGGGCTAAGAGAGACTGAGCATTTTTCCTGAACCTGAATTATAACCTGGTGCTTCCCTAATAAACCCCCAAATCTGTGAGTTCTGTGTGGCCACTGTAGTGAATTATCAAACCCAGCAGAAAGGTGGTGAATGCTGCGGGAGGAACGGTTGGTGTCAGGGTTGGTGAAAGGGCTAGAGGGAGGCAGCATGTCTGGTCTCGCAGGAATAGGCCTTGGGCTATTGATGGTGATTCTGTCTTCCTCTTGTGCAGATAGAGGAGGTCAGAAGATGTGGCCTCCTTGCCCCTTTAGCAATTCGTGTCAGAAGCGGTGGGATTCGCTGTAGTGGTTCCAGACTCATAGAAGCATGAGACTTTGTAAAAGAGAGAAGGAAGGGGCGTTGGAAGTGAAATTTTGGATTCTTAGATGTTTACTTTGTTTGGTGTTACCTCTTAAAAGAGATCATTGATCCAGAGGCTAGGGCCTTTGGTTACACCCAGCCAAAGGCCCAAGACCATATGTATAGAATGGGAAGGTAATCAAGGTGAAGAGATGAACTTGGAATGTCTTAAAAAGGGTTATGTGTTTTGGATTATATGTTTACCTGAATGTACTACAGGTATTGAATGTCTCTTACCTGCTTATACATTAGAAATAATTATGGGGTATGGGTAATAGAGAGCGTGTAACTCTGCCTTCAGCTGATACTTGATTGGATATGTTTAAAAGGGGAAACAGAATTTGCCCAGAAGAAACACAGGCTTTTGTTTTAAGCCCTGTGTGTAGAGAGTAGTAGGAGTTTAGGTAGAAAACCTGAGCCCCACCTAGTACTACTGAGGGAATGGAAGATCTGCATTTGAAAAAAGGACCTGAAGAGGAAAAAAAAAAAGACTATTTGGCTTTTTGAATTGTGAGCAAGCATTTAGGCTTTGGGTACATCAAGGCAGGAAAGTCACAGTCCATGAGAGAAACCCCTTCTAGGACTGAAAGTTAAAGGAAGCCAGTGAGCAGTAGGCTTGGTATGTTGCTCACTTGTGACCACCTGGGTCCACTTGAGTGGAAATGGGGAAGTGCAGCACAGAAGAAACAGGCTGAGTTTCGTACTCTTTGACCTAGGCCATGGAGGCTGGGGATGAGAGAGGAAGGGCTGGCTGATCTGAAGTGCAAGGAGTTGTGAGCCTATAAGCATTGAAATAGTCCCTGAGGATGGAATATGTGAGAGAAGGTGCTGGCTGTTCTAAAGTGAAGGGAAGAGTGTGACTCCGAAACTTGGCAGCTGGTACCCACGACCTAGCTGGGATGGCTAGGGATGAGCTGACCAGAACCGGACCAAATGAAGAGGAAGATGTTTGACACTGAGCTGGTGTTAAGTTGCTGCAATTTGATGGCTTGTGCTGGGCTGGACTTTGCTTGTTTATGGATCTAGATGCCTGAAGTTTCCAAGCAGAACAGAAGATCCTCCAGAGAGAAAGGACCATGCTTGTCTCCTCAGAGTACTGGTTTGATAGGGATGGGCAAATTAGAAATTGGCTATTTAAAATGGGGGGAGATAAAGGCATGAAGTGGCTGGCTTACACACTTTCATGGGTGTGGTTATTCTTAAACTGATGGTGAAAGGGATGTGAGTTTTTGAAGTATAAAAGGGATAATGGCTAGAAAAGCCAGGAGGTGGTCTGTGGTATAATAAATTACTTAGTGTGGCTTTTCTACCCATAAGTCTTTGTAAACTCTGAGGTAGAATTTGCCATGAACAATTGAGGAGCTCCTTCCTGATTGCTAAAGTTATCCACTTGGGGTATTTCTGTTGAGCAGTGGCACAAAGCAATGTTCTGGGAAGTTTGCGCTCTCTCTCAGATGTTTCCTATTCTAATGTTATGATTGGTTAGTTTGGCCACATTGCCAGGCTCAAAAGGAGGCCTCCTAGAGGTAGAAGAAGTCTCTCTGACTGCTGGCTGAGGAAGGACGTGCTGCTGAGAGAAATGCACTGAGAGACACATGCCCCGAGAGACATGAGCTGCTGGGAAAGAGACACAAGAGCCACGCATTGCTGAGAGACACTGAGGGGTATGCACTGCTGGGAGAGAGACTGTGAGAGACTGTTGGTGGGGAGACGGCAGGCTGAGAGAAACTGAGCATTTTTCCTGAACTTGAACTGTAACCGGGTGCTTCCCTAATAAACCCCATAATCTGTGAGTTCTGTGTGGCCACTGCAGTGAATTATCAAACCCAGCAGAAAGGTGGTGAGTGCTTGGGAGGAACGGTTGGTGTCAGGGTTGGTGAAGGGCTGGAGGCAGGCAACATGTCTGGCCTCGCAGGAACAGGCCTTGGGCTATTGATGGTGATTCTGTCTTCCTCTTGTCCGGACAGAGGGGGTCAGAAGGTGTGGCCTCCTTGACTTTTTTAGCACTTATTAATGTTTTAAATTGGTACACTACATAATTATGTAGGCTTTTTAAAATGCTTCAAGAACATAAAAGTGATAGATTATTTCTATCAAATACACAACTTAAGTTATTCATATGTATTACTTATTTGATGATTAAGCAGTAAGATTTCACAAAAAATTAATTGTGGTTTGAAAATATATACACTATCAAATCTTCATTTTAAGGTTTCTGAAACATGTAATACTATATCCAATTCCATTCTATAGTAAATACTGAAAATTTATTTTAAATCTAAAAATAAAATAAATGAATCAAAAAACATGAAGGTGAGATAACAATCTACCACATTTACATTTGCAAAGTTACAACAGAAACTAATTTTCACTTTTGTTTAACCTCAAAATTATCTTCAGACAAAAAAGAATATGTCAAATTTCAAGGAATCCTACTTATAGAATCCCAAACAAAATTACAAATGAAAATTAAACTACTTGAACCAAATCAAATTAAAGAAAAATGAACATATTTGTAGATTTCTTGCTATATAAAGTTAAAGTCATGGATTTGTGAGATATTATAGGGAATTCTGTTACAGACAATGTCTACTGTTCCAGTTTCTTATATGATAAAGAAATTTCACTATGTTTCATTATCTTATACTTTAATAGGATATATTTCCAGCAAACTCTGTAAGAAAAAAATATATCAAATATTTGATTAGCTTTATTTTGTTAATTCAGGCAGTAAATTTTCACACATACTGACCTACATTTTTTTTTTTTAAATTAAAAGCTACAGTTTTTACACCTTAGCAGAAAGATTTTGGAAAATAATTTCTCCCAGGTCCAATTTTATCAGAATTTTATAAACGCCATTCTTCTCCAATTAAGAAACACAAATATCTCACAAGAAAAACCTCTTGATTTTTAAGACTTTAATTAGACTGAACTACTATTCAAATATTTGAAATTAAAAAATTCCAAACATTCATTATCTTAATAATGCAGTTAATATGGTAAAGCCACATAAAAAACACTGATTATATTTAATATTAAAACTACTTTTCTCCTTAAGACCCATTTTGGAAGAATATTTGTAAATATTAAGTGAGTACATCTACCTAATGACCCACCACTCATCTACAAGTGGCTGTCAGTCTTTACTGTAGTAGCTTGAGTGCTGCTATGATATTGGATACTATGCCACAAGTTCAAATACAAGCACGATCACTCCTAGAGGACAGGTTTCAGAAGAGCTTCCAGACTAGGAAAAAAGGCCTGGAGAGCTACTTCCAAAAATTAACCAATGAAAACCCTTTAGCTCATAACAGAATACTTTCCAATATAATGCTTGAAGAAGAGCTCCTCAGGTTGGAAGGCGCTCAAACCTCCACAATGGACTTCAACATACCAAAAATTGTGAAGATGCTGCAACGCAAAAACCCAACAACTGCTGTGGAGTTGGATCCGACTCACAGTGACCCCTCCTTGGGTTTCGGAGGTGGTATCACTATGAAAGTAGACTGCCCAACCTTCCTTCCAAGGAGCGGAGCGGCTTGTGGGTTTGAACCGCCAGCCTTCTGGTTAGCAGTCAAATGCCTTAGGCACTGGCCAGAAGATGCTGCAGTACTTGGCAACAATTCTTTCTGTTGTAAATGGGGTTGCCACCAGTCAGAGCAGACCTGTTGGCAACTAACAGCACCATCATTTAATAACACCTTTATAGAATAATCGTACAATACATTTAGCTTAAAACTTACTGTCGTCAAACACCCCGGCATTAGCAAGTAATAAAGTGATGATTTTAGGGTCTTTTTCAAGTTGCATGACGTGCTTGCTTTCATTTGATAGGAGAGTGCATACATTAATAGCAAAGTCCACTTCATTTGGGAGTCCAGATAACAGTGAAAGCACCAATTTATTATAATCATTTGGCGAATTGAAGTCCATAGATAGCCCGTAACTTTGACGCAGATAATCTAACAAAGACAAAAAACAAAAACAAAATGTCCTTAAATATAACAAATATTATAGATACCATTATGGATATCCTTCCAAAGATTGGGCAGAAGTTTTGAGTTTTTATAATTTTAAAATATAAACAGTTGAGAGTTCAACTTTTTAAATTTCTTAAGTTTATTCACTGTTATATTTATTACCTTCTTAAACAAGAATTAAAATACAAAAAAATCCATATACTGGATATATGTGCCAAAATATTCTATCATTACTTTAATTTACCCTAATTTGCATGTTTTTTAGTAGTCCCTGAGTGGCACAAATGCTAAGTGCACAAGTACTAACAAAAAGGTTGGAGGATCAAACTCACCCAGAAGCACTTTAAAAGAAAGGTCTGGCAATCTACTCCTGAAATGTGACCGCTTGGAAAATCCTATGAAGCATAGTTCTACTCTGACATACGTGGGGTCGCCATGAGCTGGAATGCAATGACAGCAACTGCTTTCGTGGTTCGTTCTTTCTTTTTTTGCTTTGGAGAGGAGCACATTTTTTCACTCTTGCATTTCAAGGGACGTCTTCTCATTTTTAGATACTATAAGCCAGGAAGAGTGGTTCCCTTGACATGTTTAATATTATTATTTTTGTTTACACCCACTTCCTATCAACTGCACCCAGTTGTAGGAGATTATAGCTTATGCATGTTGAATTTATTGAAAGACAAGTAGCATTGTAAAAGCCATCCATGCTTTTTAGTTCTAGAATACTATGAGTTTTGACAGATGTCACTATCATGATATAGAACACTCTGATCAATCCAAAAAGTTTCTTCATGTCCTTTGCAGTCAATCTCCTTCCTCTATCCTCAAGTAACTGCTGGTCTAATTTCTATTCCTAAAGATTTGGGGTACTTTTGTTCTTTGCCCCCCAATGCCAAATAAATGGAATCATACAGCATATATCTTTTTTTATTTGGTTTCTTTCATGTGCTATAATGCATTTCAGATATATGTCCATGTTGATATTCTTTTTTATTGCTATTGGGCAATCTACTTCCATAGTGATACTGCCTCAGAAACCCAAGGAAGAGTTTCTATGAGTCGGGTCTGACTCAACAGCACATAACAACAACAACAACAACAAGAAAAACAGTATGGATATAATATAGTTTATTTCTTCCTAGTTGAGAGACATTTGAATGTTTTTTTGCCCCCTTCAATTTTTGGCACTTATTAACATAGCTGCTACAAATTTTCATATAGGAATGTCTGTTTTTTATTTTATTTAATATTTTTAAAATTCGTGTTGGTCAAACCTACAGATGAGATTGCTAAATCATTTACAGGTGTATGTTAAACTTTGTGAGAAACTGTCAAACTGTCAAAGTGGGTACAACAGCTTGCATTTCCACTTGTAATGTACAGCATTCCTGTTAATATGCAAATATAATATTGATGGTACTGTGTCCTAAGAAATCTTTGCTAAACCAAGCAACTATGATTCTCTATGTTGTTGTTGTTATATGCTGTCGAGTTGGATCTGACTTACAGCCACCCCTCCGTGGGCTTCTGAGGCTGTATCACTACGGAAGTAGATTGCCTAACCTGCCTTCCGAGGAGTGGCTAGTGGGTTTGAACCGCCAACCTTCTGGTTAGCAGTCTAATGCCTTAGACACTACACTACCAGAGCTCCTATGATTTTCTATGTTGTTGTTGTTGTTGTTTGCCGTCGAGTTGGC